TGGCGCCTACACCTACTATTTAAGGGGAGGCGCCATCTCACTTGGCGCCTAGGTGCTTAGGGCTTTCCCTAAGCCAAGTGAGATGGCGCCTTAGTGCATTTTCTAGGGAAATTTTTGCGTTTTTTTTCAATGCGGTGCGTTACGTATTCGATATAGGATCAACAAAATTGAATTTTTATTTACAAAATATGATTACACACATAAATATTACATAAAAAAACAGATTAATCAGTGGTCCTCCGGAACCCGGTAATGACCCCCGGTTCCGCATCCCTGTCCTCGCCTTTCCCGTGCTAGGTTTCGTCGCGTTTCCTGTTGTGGCAGGGTTGATGGCCCAACAAAGTCAATGCGTTCCGGATCCATGAAATCATTCAGATCTCCATATCTAGAATATCCGCTTTGGTACAGTCGGTTACCCATACCCTCAAAGTTTGGTCGTGTTGTCGGTGGGTGGGGTTCCATGGTTGATCTGTAACAATGGTAGTCTGAGTACGGGGGGTAGAAAGGAAATGGATCATGGGGTGTTTGGTATTGATAATGTTGGGTGGTTTGGTGATATTGTGGTTGATGGTAAGTTGGGTCGGTTGGTTCATAATCTTCCGACATTCCCAGATCAAGGCTAAGGTTGGATGTTGAGGGGCCCATATTGGGATATGCAGAAGACTGAAATTGTGTGTGGGGTATACGGGTGTGTTGTTGGTATTGTGATTGAAATTGAGGTTGGGTGTGAGGCATTTGGGGGTAATGGTACTGAGGTGGTGATTGTGGTTGGTTGTGGGGCATGTGAGTGTAATTGTATTATGGTGGTGACTGTGGTTGGGTGTTTGTGGTTCTGTTTCGTCTGGGGGGGTGGTGGGAGGTTGATGTGTGTTGGATTTGTTGTTGGGGAAATGAGGGTTTTGCCCGTTGTGTTAGTGGGTCAACCAAATACCTTGGATGAGACACGTGCATTTAAGGGGTACTAACCGATCTGTACCAAGATAAATATTGATCTGTGTGTCGCATATTACCATGGTTGAGGAAAACTGGGAATTGCAAGACATGTCGGTGACACCTCTGCCACATCTTACAACATTCTGGAGCAAAGTCTTTCCAGTTGGTAAGACCCCATTGGGCGTCGATCCTTTTGAGATGCCACAGGGACAAACAAGTCGGATCACTGGGTATCTCTTGATGCATTCCAAACTGCATATTCACACGGTCGTTGTGGTGCATCTCTACAACATTGAACCGTATGATTGCAGTCTTTACGCTCCAAATTGCTGCATCCTAGGGGTTTGGTTCATGGCCCATACCCAAATATGGTCTCCAGACAAACTGCAGATAAAATTAAATCAGGTTAATGAAAACGTAATATATAAATAATTTAAAAGTAGAAAAGTTGAAAGGTACTCCGTACATCATCTAGGCCAAGGTGATCTAATAGATTGCGTTATAGTGCGACATTGAATCTTGGATTCTTGCCGTAATCCATACCCCTCACGCAATACCTAAAGGAAATGAAAAATATTTTATTTTTTATCATATATTTGGTGAAGAGATAAATAGTAATAAATGATATAACTTGATGACTTACTTTGCTGCGTATAGGAAAATGAATGTGTTGTTGTTGACGGGGTTTAGGGACTCCATCCTCCACGAACCCTAGGCTTGAAGTAAAAAAGCGCAGCCATAAAATGTACATTTTTCCTTGGTTGCATTTTTACACGAGGAACTGTATAGGTGGGCTAAAACAGCAGAACCCCAACTATACTTTCTAGTTTTTTCGAAGTCTCTAAGTAAATTTAAATACATATAATTTACACTATTTCCCATACTTTTGGGAAATAAAAAGGTTCCAAATAGTATCATTATATAAGTTCTAGCTTTTATTACCTTGGCTAGCTCGGAGGAATTTTCGTTTAATTCCAGAGTCGCATAATGATTTTTTAGCTCAGTTAGTAGTATACCCTGACCTCTTGCACCACCACCATTAACCATATCCCTGCCCAACAATTCTTCACACCGAGAATTGAGTTGTTGAACCGACCCGTTAACGGCCTTACCATCGACAGGGAGACCCAATAACATGTACACGTCCTCTAGCGTGACGGTACATTCACCTATTGGTAAGTGAAATGTATGGGTCTCTGGTCTTCACCTTTCCAACATTGCAAGTATGAACTTTGAATCAATTGTGCAGTTGGAGATCTTTATAACGTTTCAAAAACCTGCGTATTCCAGACATGGTACGATCAATGGGTCGGGAGCAAGGTAGTTGTGTGACCGGATTCTGAATCTTTTGGTATCCTAAGTTAATAATGTAAAAGGTGTAATAGTAAGTAAGATGAATAAAGCATTACTAGAAGTATGAAAAATGTATAACTATAAAAGAAACTTACAAATGCTGCAATGTTTTCCCTTGTGCCTCTGTGAGAATCTCCCATTGTGAGAAGAGTCATTGTTGAAAATGCCTGAGATTATGAAAGAGTTTGAAATTGTAAGAGATTATGAAAGAGTTTGTAGTAGAGAGTGAGACGATTGTGGATGCGAGAGAAGTATGTAATGCTCTGTATTTATAGGCAAAAATTTTCATAGAGTAAGTGAGGTGGTAGGTGGGTGCATGCATTCATGATAAGTGTCACTCTTGCAGAGTAGGCGCAGGCTAGGTGGCAGCCTTGGAGAAGGCATCTCTGAATGCATGTAACACGATTGGACATGAAGGGAGGCGCCATTGGACTTGGCGAAAGAGTACAAAATTGAAAGGTGTCGCCATCCCAATTGGCGAATAAGAGGTGGCATGGGTTGCAGAGTAGGCGCATGCTAGGTGACATCCTTGGAGAAGGCATCTCTGAATGCATGTAACACTAATGGACGTGATGGGAGAAGCCTTAGAGGTTACAACCTTGGTTAATTCAAATTCAGTATGACATATTTAGTCTTACATTTATCAAAACACTTATTCACTTAATCTCTCAAACACTAGAACATTCAAAAATTCCTGCAAATAACTCATAAACTTCAAACCTTCCAACCTTCAAACCTTCAAACAGTCATACACAATGGCCTTTGTACCCCAATATGTCATCAACGCACATTTCAATAGTGAGACATACATTTGTCCCACCTCTGGATTTCTGTTTAGAGACACAAATAACATCCGATTTTGTTTAACCAGGAAAGCCAATTTCTTGTACTTCAAAAAATGATTGGAGGCCAAACTTGGACGAGGCCCCGTGACAAATATTTTATCAGAATCCGGTTTTTTTTGTAACAACCAAATAATATTTTATAAGGTTGAGGTTCAAGATGACGAAGATCTTCAGAATATGTTTTCCAGTCATGAGTATTCTGGGTACGACTCTATTGAGTTGTACATTATGCTGCGAGAGCCTCAGCTGTCACAAGTGGTTGATCCTTTGGAGACGGAACAAACAGAAGTAGATGCAGTTGATGAAGAAGAAGATGATGAGTTGGAGTTTGACGAAATTGTCAATGATGATTCCGAAGACGAAGGGATACCTGATATTTCTGCAAACGAGATCTACACCCCACCTCCGCACATGACAAACTTCAACATGGGCGGAGATGAACCGTCTTCTGATTTATTTTTCAATTTGTATATGCAGTCGGATGAAAACTTAAAAGAGAAAGACAAATTTCGTAACAGAGAAGAATGTATCAGAGCCATCAAAAAATTCCACATGCTCAACTTGGTCGATTTTAAGGTGGACCGTGTAAATCCAGAAAGGTACAAGATCAAGTGTGTCCACCCTGATTGTATGTTCAAGCTCACTGCATCATACAAATTAAGAGGTGATTGTTGGGTCATATGTCTACCCACACTTGTGTCAGTTTTACTCAATCACAAGATCATCAAAAACTTAATTATGATCTCATTTGTCAAGAAATTCTACCACTTATCAGCAACGATCCATCTTTGAAGGTGAAAACCATAATCTCCCACATCACTACGGTTTTTAACTATACTCTGTCTTACCGAAAGGCGTGGTTAGCAAAGACCAAGGCGATTGAAAAAGTATATGGAAATTAGGAGATGTCATACCAAGGACTTCCCCGCTACCTGAATGCACTCCAGACTTATTCTCCGGGTACTATTTACATTCTGGAAACAGTGTCAGCATACGCCCAGATGATAATCAACTCAACAGAAATGAAATATTCAATTGAGTATTTTGGGCTTTTCAACCTTGCATCACAGGATTTGCGTCATGCAAACCAATTATGCAAATTGATGGGACTTGGTTATATGAGAAATATAAAAACAAATGTATATGAAAATCTCCAATTTGACCTTTGCTAAAAAAATTAACACCTATTGATTTTAGGGTTAATTTAAGTCTAAAATTTGCTTTTTGTAACGAGTTTTCAATTCTAACTACTAATTTATTCAATTTGTTGTATTTTCTTTACCCAATTGCACTTCAATTACCGCTTTCTATTTCAGATGGAACCAAATGAGAATTTTCTCACCTTCCTAATGCTATGCTGACTACTGCTGGTATGTGAAAATGTCACTTTTTCGTGAACCCTAACCTTCTCCCTCTATCCACTGCTTTCTACTCCAAACGCTTTTGAAACAAAATTTCTGCTTCCCCAGATACAAAGTCACGTTCTCCATCTTCTTCTTCTTCTTCTTTCTTCTTTCTTCCTCTACCTCTCTCTTCCTCTTTTCTTTTCTCTTTTTCTCTCTTCCGCTTCCTTTTTCGTCTTCTTCTTCTTTCTCTTTTCCTTTTCTTCAAACAAAAATGTTACTTTTATGGTTTTCTGCTTAGATCTACGAAACTCTGGGGATTATGTTGTTGTTGATATTTTTGTTGTTGTTGCAGGTTTCGGAAATCAGATGTTTCCGGTTGTTGAACGGGAGAAATTGATTGAAGCTTTTGAGAACACTTATAATTCTGTGTTCCTGCTATTACCTACAGGTATGTAATTTTATATATGGTTTAGTTTGAGGGAAGGAAACTGTGCCCTTCTGGTTTACACATGGATCTGAATGGTTAATAGTTGATGTTATAAGTGGGTTTGATTATGTGGATGTCGGAATATCCGTTGTTCGGGATATGTGGATACGGTTGCACACATAGATGGTGTTTGGGATACATTATGGTATTTATGATTGCAGTGCATATGGACACAATATACTGTCTGTATGAGTTATTTTGTGTTTGAAAGCATTCAAGCATTTGTTTCTTTGTGTTTGAAGTCTTTCCACATTTGATTATGTTTAATTTATTTATATGCTAAGTGTGTACACGGTATGCATTAATTTGATTCGAAGAATGCTTTAATGACATGTACATTTTGTGTATGCGGGTACGTAGTTTGTTAATAACAGATACTTTTTGTGTATGCAGGCAACATGTGTCTCCTGATGTCGCATTCTTCTCGTCGCGTGGACCGAGTTCTCTTTCTCCTTCAGTTTTAAAGGTTCTACTCACATTCCTCCAACATGAAAATATTTTTTCTGGACAAAAATATAACATTTATGGTTCATCAAACTGTTGCAGCCCGATATTGCTGCTCCCAGAGTTAATATTCTGGCTGCCTGGTCACCTGCTTCTTATTCCAGCGTAGAATATGATGCAAGTCAAGATGAGTTATCAGCTCTTAACTTCAAAATTGAATTAGGAACTTCAACGTCCTTCCCCCACAAAATCAGGAGAGATAAGGAAAAGGCTATTACTGAACCTGAAGTTTTGATGACAGGAAATAGAATGGTCCAATTGGGAACTAGGAGAGAGGGATATAAGGCAAGGAATTGACTTAGCAACCATACAGTTGCTTCACATATTTTACAGGTTTCTTCAAGGACCAGAAGTTTGAATATGTGGGTTGGGGATAGACAATTCAAATTTGATGAAGTTTGAATTGATTTATTTTTACTAAAATCTTGAATTTGTTTTGCCCAAACTGGTTTAAAATCGTGAATTTTTGCAGTGGATAGATATAAAATATAAGAAGTCGGGGGGCTGAACTTATGAAAATGCAATAGACCCTGCGCCTGAGCCTATGGTGCCAATAAACAAAGAACATGGGTATCTCATTTCTTCTCTCTATTTTTTCGAGCAAATTCTTTTTTTTTGTTCAATGTATTTATTCTTCAATTCTGATTTCTTTCTTGCTAGATGCAGAGAATCCACCACGTGTTCCATTTTCTTCTTCCATATGTTTTGTCATTTAACTTTTGTTGTGTATGTGTATGTGTGTGGCCTAGTGGTGAAATGTTTGGGTCTTGAGAGTGTGCTCCTCTCAAGGTTTTTTTTCTTTTGCGTGACTAGGATGATATTTCAATAGTTTCCGACGATGTTTGACCCGGTCGGTGTCAACAGTGAGAGAGATAGCTACAAAGGATTATGTTTGTTTATGTGATGTTCGGTGAAATCTTTGTTGAAGCAGAATTTCTTCATCATCTAATGATGTAAAGATATTGTATTTGCTTTCCAGACTCAAAAATGGTGTAGAAGCGCAGAACTCACGACACGGGCTGTACACAAATTTAAAGCATATGACTGTTAAACAGAAAAATTAGTATTTTATACAGATATATTTAGTTTTCTTAGCTTAACCTTGGTATTTCTTTTCCATCATCTCTTCTAACTATTTATTTCATAATTTAGATTCTTGGTGCTCCTTCATTATCAATTCCTAAAACGGCCCTTGTCTGGTGAATTTCAAATAAGCTCTTGAAACTTTCCAGTTCATTCTAACACAATGTTGAAATGCTAGATTGCTACTAATTTTTTCATTTTCATTTTTATGAACTGTCATGAGTTTTCTATGTTGATGTGTATTTCACTTTAGAAAGGAAAATATCTTGAAACATATTGCAACAAAATGCAGTTTTGTGGTTTTTAACTGTCTTACAAATTCCTATAAAAGTGACTTGTGCTTTTCAGTCGGCTTTTCAGATTGTGGCAGGTTCCTCTTTGGTTCAGAAGCTTCTGGTGTTCTTGTGTGCGGGTCTGCTATCAGTCCATTTTTGATAGAGGTGTTTTGCAACACCTGAATTTATGGTATTTCAGTTTGTTTCTGCAGGTGTTATCAGTTCCAAGATTTGCGTTTGGTGTTTGTGTGGTCTTGCTCCTGCCAGGCCTGGTGTTATCTTTGTCTCTAATAATAAAGTGGGGGTAAAGATGCATCAGAAAGTAATGAAAAAGATCAATGGGAAGCACTACTCAATACTGTAAAACTAGCAGCTCAAATATTTGTACTTCTCTATCTTTGTTAGGAGGATAATTTGTTATAGGTGTTTTTGGCATAGCTCAAAGTCTTTGGTTTGTACTTTGTGCTTTTTTGTTGTGTAATTTGTATAATCTGGTGAACTATTGTGTTGCTTATAGCACAACTTGTGTACTGTTTTCTTGGTTTACTTTATACTGGAAATTTCATCTTGCCTTAACTCCAATTTTCAGTTTTTACATATTTTTTCCTATTTCAGCTTGAGATTACCTACCATATCAAGTTCATAAAAGAAAGACGATCACGAAATTACATCCACCAACCGGCCTACTAGAAAATTAAACTTATGTCATAAGTTAGCATTTTTTTAAAAATATTAAATTAAAATAATTATTTTTATTCGATATAAACATTTAAAAAATTTCAAATTAAATTTCAAAATTTGATATTTTCTTAAAATTTTAATAGTTAATTAGAGAAATTATATTTATTTAAAACTTTAATAATTTTTGTTTTTTTCTAATATGAAAATTAAATGTAACGGGAAACATAAAATAATTAAAAATAAGTTTACTATTATCAATTATTTTAATAAATAATACTAAAACAAAAATAATATTTATAGCAGAAATAAATATTATTGACTTAAATATTTCTATATAAAAAAAATTTAAATACTGATTTATTATTTATTTTTAAAATAATAAAATTTTTGATTAAACAATTTTTTCTTTCTATCATTTTATTTTTTCATTTTAAAAACGAAAGTGTACGTAACATATCAGTACTCTTGAGAACACACGAGTAATACATTGATATTGTGTCAAAACACAAATAATCATACTAAAATTCGTGCGAATTCGCATGTTATTATACATTTTTTTTTGTATAATTAAAAAAAATAAAAATAAATATATTTAATATATGAATTCAATCCAAGAAAATGTATTGTTTTTAAGATAATATATAAAAAATTGAAATATATATTATTAATATAAAATAATGTTAATAGAATAATTTTATTTTTCTTAATTACATTAAAATCGTATACAGTATTTTAATATTTATATAATCGCACGAATATCCTACCAATTTTTTTTAGATGACTTCCTCATGCATTGAGTGGTGAAAAAGAATCCTTTCATATCTTTCTTCCTCAATTCTTTATGTTCCTTTTTTAAAATAACACTACATCCACATAAAGTAATATAAGAAGTAATAAATACACGTATATATAAAAGGCAGGCACTTAAATAATATAAATACCATAATTTATTATTCGTTAATTTAAGTGCAAGACGCGTGTAATAAATAATTACCTTTTATGAATCATCTAGAAAAATCTAATTACCTATAGAGGAAGTAAAATCCAGCTCTAAGTATCAAAACAAATAAAGACCAGAAGAATTTCACCTAAAAAGAATGTTTTGCCGTTTTCTATGGTATATCATCTCAATTCATGCAAACCGGCATGGTTCCAACTCATGCAAATTGATCACCAAATCACCAAAATAAGATTCATATTAAAATTTCCTTTTTTATAAGGCTAAGACTCTCTTCAAAACATGATAAACTTATAGTCATCATGATCATATCATGACGGTGTTCACCAAGGTACTATCCAAAACATTTTCATAACCTAAAAAATAAAAATAAGATTAAATAAAATAAATAAATTATTATTATTATCATTACTTGATTAATAAGTTAATAAATAAGTATAGATAAATGAAAATGTGATAATCCTGTAAGCAAAATAAAAAATAAAAAAAGTGATAATCCAAATCCATATATATCTCCCCGTCAACACCACGACCTCTTCTCCATAATCGGACGGTCATAAATTTATAATCTATATCTACTGTTTGATCTAAATCCAACGGTTCATATTTAACTCCACTTGAACTTTTTCATTTCTCATCGCTTCGTATATCTTATATATAATATAATATTCCTTACACATAACAACACAACCAAGCTCAAAAACCAAAGGCGCATCCTCGTAAACTGCGAAACTCACCGGTTTTTTTTTCTTACTGTATTTTTCTTCCCCAAAACCAACGAAGAAAACAATAACCTTCGACAATTCCAAACCAAGTATTCTTCCTACTTTCTTTTTCTTCTGTTTTTTTTTTCTGAAACCGGCGAAAAAAAGTTTAGTTACCGGTAAACGAAACCTCTCTTATTGTTACCACCGTGTAGCCTGAGATGTTACCGGCGCAACCGGTAATAAAAACCGTGGTGGTGAGAATCTCACGATATAGAGAGGGGTAAAGTAGGTTAAGTGAAGCGGGTAAGAAAAAAAGAAGAGAAGAGTAAATCGTACGGTGGAGATTGAATCTGGTGGGTCCCACTAAAGATGGAAACTCAGAAGACGAATAGCCAAAGCCAAAGCAAGCTGACCCGAACCAAATCCTCGCTGCTTCGGTGTTCTTCTCCGACCAACGGAACCTATAGCCTTGGTTCTGTGAACGAAGAAGACTTTTACGATGTAGAGAAACTCGATAAGAAGAAGAAGAAAAACGGAAATAAAAAGAATAAGAAGAAGTGCCGGTTCGGTTCCGGTTCAGGTTTAGGTTCGATCCGGTTTGTTGCTGCTCCGATTCTAGGTTTTTTCAGCGGGTGTTCATTGTTCTTCTACGTTTTCAATTTTTTCAATATTGGTTCAGTGGGTCCCACTTCCGAGAACGTGTTGCTGATTCTGTTATTCGTGGCTGTAGCGCTTTACTTGGTAAACAGGAACAAACGCGTGATTCACAGGAGCGTTTCGGTTTTGAAGCATTCATGGGACGGGAATTTGAAACGTCTCGGGTTTAGTTCCAAAGGAAGTGAGAAACCGGTTCAGTGGTTCATTGGAGAGACCGGTTCAGCGGATAAGGAGAAGTTGAAGGAGAAGGAGAATGGAATAAGGAAAGAGGGTGTGGAGTGTTACAGCAATGGTGATTTTTACGAAGGAGAGTTTCATGGAGGGAAGTGTAACGGAAGTGGAGTTTATCATTATTTTGGGAGTGGGAGATATGAAGGTGATTGGGTTGATGGGAAGTATGATGGTTATGGAATTGAGAGCTGGGCCAGGGGAAGTCGTTATAAGGGGTGTTATAGACAAGGTTTGAGACATGGTTATGGAGTTTATAGATTCTATACTGGCGATTCGTATTCTGGAGAATGGTGTAATGGACAGAGTCATGGTTTTGGTGTTCAATCTTGTTCCGATGGTAGTTGTTATGTTGGTGAGTTTAAGTTTGGTGTCAAACATGGTCTTGGATGTTACCAATTTAGGTGAGTTTCTGTAGTTTTTTTTTTTTTTTTTACTTTTACTTTCATATTTTTTTTACTGTTTATGATCCTTTTGTTGCAAATTTTGAATCTTGTTGATAGATAGTATAGTTGATTTTGTTTTTGTTAATTTTTGGAATTTTTCTTCCTTCTACATTCTGTCTGTTAATAGAATATGTTATGTATTGAAAGTCGTCAAATTTGATGGTCAAGTTTTGTTGCTAGTGTTAATATTTATTTCATGTTTCTTGTTCAATTCAACTATTGATTGTTTGACAAGTTAAACAGGAAAGTACTTATCTTTTTCAAGACCATGTTAATGATAGTTGACAGTTTGCAATATCAATAGTAAAAGGGTTGTTTGTGAAGTTTCTCTTCTAGTTATTATAACCAATATGCTTTTTTTAAGAGAGCTATAGTAGTAGGTTCTGGATTTTAAGTGTTTTTATTTACTTTAACTGAATAAGCTCACTTTGTTACATTTTAATGTAGAAATGGAGATAAATATACTGGGGAATATTTTGGTGACAAAATACACGGATTTGGGATTTACCATTTTGCGAATGGACACTGTTATGAAGGAGCATGGCACGAAGGTCGTAGGCAAGGTTATGGTGTTTATAGTTTTCGAAACGGAGACCGAAAACATGGTGAATGGGATGGTGGCATCCTCAGACAGTCTCTACCACCACAAACTCATGCTGTCCTTACATCAGTTCAGGTATTTGTCCTTCACATTCACTTATGTTGCTTTCTCCCTAAAACTAAGCCACTGTTCCGTTACGAGTTCTGCACAAAATTCACGCGTCCCAATGAGAGCTTACCATTTATTGGGACTG